GGCGGTTGAGTGTTCTAAGGAGTGCATTCCTATCTGGTGTTACTGTTCATCTCATATGCTTCATATACCTGTTAGGCTGAAAACTGAACCACAAGAATAAGAAGAGTTCTAGGCCTGAAGCTTATCTAAAGGCAATAGTCTTAAGGGTTTCACCAGTCTCTGTAAGACCAATAGGCACCACCTAGTTCTTCTGACATTGGAGTTCTAGAGGCTGATGTTGAAGAGGCCCATCAGTCTTTTGGAGTTTGATTTTCTTCTCTCCTCTTTGTTCTGGATGAGGACAGAATAATAGTTACTGCCATCTGGCCCTTTGTAAGGTTTTAGGACCCCAGTTACTAGTCACCAAAGTAGGATGTAGAACATTGCCTTTGCAGATTATCGTAGGCCAGTTTATCTTGATTTTCACTGAGATGATTTTTGGGAGCCGTCAGGGCCAGCGACTCATTTCCTCAAGGTATTTGGTTATGGCTAAGGAGTTTTCCTAACTTTGCTCTGTTTGCTGTGATGTGTTTATACATAGATATATTTATGGCACATACAAATCAAATACCTATCTGGAAATGAATCCTTCCTAAATACTAACCTTTTTAAGTATGTTTGGCTCTGCTTCCAATAATAATAATATACCTTGGCTCAAGTTTCTTCACTTCTTGGGATTGCCATTTCTATAGAAAGAGATGGGATATTATTCAATCTCAACTCACAGTCCCCCAAGTAACAGAGAACTGCCCACAGGGATTTTTTAGACCGGTCTTTATAGGAAGAAGATGAGTAGGCCTTTGTTCCATGGAGTTACTGGGTAGATCAAACTGCTGACCTTCCAATTAGCAACCATGCCCTTAACTGCTCTATCACCAGGGCTCCCAGCTATAAACAAGCAGGAGAGAATGCTAAATCATCATTTTGATGTATTTAAAGAGGACCATTATCTTAAAGTCAGATTACTAAGTTTTTAGGGCGTTTCATTTAATGCCAAATATTTTAAGATAAGGGCAAATTGGTCCACGTGTTAAAATTTAATATAAACTTGTTTTATATTATATTGTTGACTAAACTGTATCACCTGTAAATCCATCACACAGTAGCAGAATCATCGTCCCTCAAAATACTTGGCACACCATCCATTCTCTTTATCTTAATTTGTCCTTTCATACATATAAAGATTAAAGCTCATTAATATTTTACCTAAAACCATCTCAATCGGACTCTAGCCTATCTTTTGTTAAACCTTTCCTTTTACTGCACACCTGCACCCTACACCTTGCAACTGTTCTACTTATTCCGATAGAAATGATGTAAGCTTAGCTGCTTCTGCTGGGACATTCATGACTCAGTGACTGGGGTAATTGGGATGGGTGTGTTGGAGGCAGCGCAATTGGCACAAGATAGAGCAGGATTTAGGGCTGTTGTACAAAGGGTCGCTATGAGTCACAAGTGACTCGACGGCACATAACAATAACAATAAATAGTTCTTTGTATACACATCACTATCCCACACTAAAGGAAGAACTGTATAATATATCTTCATATCCTTTACAGATGTCACATAGGAGCCACTTGAAAGCTATTTGTTGAATTGAGAAATTTGGCTTTTTTTTAAAGAGTTCTTAAGATTTTTTCTTTTCCTTTTGCCTCTGTCTTCAGTATGGGTCAGTAATTAATTGCTGATCTTGTCCTCATTTACAACTTTTGATAATAGATATAACATAATTTATTG